CCCTTGCTCTGACAGTCCTGCTTTGCAAATAGTATTACAGTACAAACATTCATCGTACACACGTTCTCTCATCCCTCTCTCAGAGTATTTAAAATCTGGACTCTCCCTGACCTAGGTTGCTGATCGTGAAGTGCATCTGTGGAGGGGTGGGGGATGCATTTGAAGCAGTGCTTGGAGCCGTACTCAGAGAAGTTTTCTAGCTTCTTCTTTTCTGCTCTGCAGCACAGCTCCCCGGGCTCTGTGCAGCCGAGCAGCCCCTTACTGATCCTGTGTGTGACCTCAGTGCAGCTTGGGCTGTGGCTGGTCACCCGCTGCATCCGCAACGGGGAGCCGGCCTGGGCTGCAGGTACTTAGCGTGCTCAGGAAGGTGACCAAGGCTCACTAGTCATTGTTATTTTGGCTGCATGACTAAAACGTTAACTCTGAGGAGGAGACAGTCCATTGCCAGCGGTGCTGTGGAAGGGGGTCTGCGCGGCAGTGCTGCCCCAGTCCATTTGCAGCAGCGGAACACACTGCCCCAGCACACGATATAAAGCGCAGGGGTTCCTGCAGCAATCAGTCCTTTGCGCATCTCTGCTCACGTGGAAGCTGTTAACTCACCGAGCCACAGCAGTGTCTGCAGAGTCCTTCCCCACAGCACCGTAGCAGGAGCGGTCCCAGTGCGGCCTGCTGATTCCAGCAATCCAGCCCTGTGACATGGGTACCGCTGGCATCCCACGATTCCCTCCTTGTGTTCTGCACAGATATTACCCCAGTGCCTGGGGCAAGCAGTTTTTATGGGCTCCCTGTTGCCCAGCTTCTACTCTGCACATGTGGATGCATGTTCTTCTGGCAAGTCCTCTGTGAGACCCAGATCCTTCTCTTCTGGCTCGGGAGGTCTGAGCTCTGGACTGTGCTGTGATCAGAAGGAAGTGGTGGATTTGCTCTGCAAAGCAGCAGTCAACTGGCCGGTTCTGTGGCTCCTCAGAGTCTATGGAGCTGTGACTCTCTCCCCCATCTCTCCAGCAAACTGGCTGTGCAGGACCCTAAGCCTCCAGGCAGGCTCTCTGACTGATAGTCCTGTTTGGTGGGTAGCTCTGCATAGATGTTTAAGGTCAGAAGGGATCTTAGCAGATCATCAAGTCCAACCCCCTGCCCTGGGCAGGAAAGAGCGCTGGGGTCAGATGACCCCAACCAAGTGCTTGTCCAGTCTCCTCTTAAAGACCTCCAAGGTAGGGGAGAGTATCACCTCCCTTGGAAGCCCATCCCGGATTCTGGTAACCCTTACCGTAAAGAAATTCTTCCTATAGCAATGTGACCTCCTAAGTCAGCTTTTGCTGAGGGGCATTGTTGATTTATTGATAACTGCTGTTTCTCATGGGCAACTAAGCAGGTTTATACCCTACGCCTTACTGCTGATTTCTCTGATTTGATGTTGTGCCTCTCGGCTGCACTCCCTTGGTCCCTGCAGTAATGTATTTGCCTCACCTTCCATCGTTCTGGGTCTCGTGACAACCTCACAGACAGATCAACACGCCTGTTTCAATGTTGTGCTGACTGGCTGCTGCCCTGCCTCTAAGAGCATACGCTCTCCTGCCTGCCTGGATACCACTCCTGTAAAGTTGCAAGCATCTGCTTTCCCCAGGGCTCCTGTTTGCCCACTGCATAAGCAAACACATGCCCTGGGTATGTAGCCTCCAGCTTGATCATGTGGGTGGCTACTGCAGAGCTATGGTATCTCATAGTCACTCCTGAACCAATGCCTTGTTAGAGCCCCTGGAAGCCAGCAGCTAAGATTAAAAAACAAAACAAAACGGGGGGGGGGGAGGGTTTCTAACACATGGTCCTGACCTCAATTTTAGACACCAGCATGAATTATCAGATCTTCAAAAGGACTGAGTCGCTCACAGCTCCATTTGGAGGTGCTGATTTCAAGTGCTGAGTTGCTGATGACCTTCAGGGAGTGCATGCAGCGCACAATTTGGGGGATAGTATCTAGGATTCTGGGAATGTGGCGTTTGCTCCCCAGGACATTGCATCTCTCACACTTGTGTGAGAGTTTGTCACGTGGTGCTGAAAGCCTCCCTCACAGCAGCTCGTATTCCCTGCATCTATTGAGGTACCTAAAACTGTGGTCCCTGCCCTTCCTAGGAGTGGCCACCATTGCTCTGTGGCAAATCAGTTTGTGACTCCATTAGGATGGCTGCCCTGCCTGCCTTTGTTACCCAGGGAGGTGTCTGGCCTAGCCTACTTCAGGGTGCTAGTGGGTGGAACGCAGGCCTGAACATCATTGCTGGGGACAGGAATTGAATATTAGGCAATTAATTGTTTCTACTGTGTCCTTTTCTGCTTGCTAGCTAAGGGGATGCCCATGTGGTTCATCGCTTCTGGTACCTTCTATGTCCTCAAAGAAATAGTCAAAAGTGTAATCAACTTGGCTTCTCCACCAATCCCAGTGTCATAGCAGTGGTGGTTTTATCATGTTTAGCAGATGGAGAGGCTGCGAGCTGCCAGCATCACTTAAGCTTTAGAGCAAAGAGAAAAGTTTCTTGGTATCTGTTTACTGCAAAAATAGCTCCGTAAGTTACTGTGCTGCTATTTTATTGTGGTAGAGAATGAAACTTCCTGTATGTCCCCTTCTTCAAGTTCAGACAGGACAGGTACAGAGAAGGGTGATAGTCATTGGCTCCTTGTAGTCTTAACATCCTGGGTTCACAGCTGTTCCGATCACGGTGGTGACTGCCTTGGTCTTTCTGAAATAATCGTTTTCCTTAGAACTGGCATTTCACTCTCAACCTTACCTCAAGTTAGTACTTTGGAAGTAGTGCACTGCCCAACCTGTTATGCACATTCACTCACTTTGGGATTCAAATATGGATATTTATGTCCTGCCTGAACACGAAGTTGTGACTTAAGTCACATGGTCAACTCTTCCTGAAAGGTATTTCTGTATAGGGGCTGACTACTGGCTTGCATCAACAGATTTTAAAACCAGAAGGGACCTTAAAGTTCCTCTAGTTTCACCTTCTCCAGAAGAGGAGACAGGAAACTGATGACATTTTATAGCCTAAGTCCATAACTTATGCATGAGCCTCTAGCATAGTTTGATATCCAGGTTTGATTCCAGGTGTATCTACCACTTTCCTAGTCAAGATAGTTGTTCCAGTGGTTAATTAACATTCACTCTTAAAATGCATCTTAGTCCTCTGCCACTGCATTGGTATACTTTTGTTACAGAGCCCTCTCTCAGGAGGTTTTTCTCCATGTAGCTATTTAAAAGACTAACAGCCTTTTACCTTCAGCTGCTGCAGTATATAGCCTGTGAAAACATTTAACGTTGACATTCTTCCACAGCAGGACTTCCCTTCTTATACAGGACTTCCTCTTAGGCAGGTTCCTCCTAAAATGTAGTGACTTCAGCTGTGAAGGCTGAGGCATGAATTTTGTGTCTCACCCTCCCATCTTTCCTCCTTCAGATGAACAAATACCCCATCATCAACCAGACATACTAAACAAGGTATCCCACAGTAATTGTGTTTTTTCTCTCAACCGTCTGCCCTGCATCAGCTGTAGTTCAGGACAGAAAGCTGCATTTCTTGATTATCTGATGAGTGTGAAACTGTTTTGTTATTAGCAACTCTATTTTGAGAAATGGGTTAAAGGGACTGAAGGATGGGATTGGAGGATATTGCCTAATTTAAACACAGGCCAACTTCCTTCACCCACTGAGCCTCCTTAGTGCTCCTTGAAAGGTCTGCCCAGTCAGGTAAGACTTTCTTTATTGCTGTGGCATGCTGAAGCCACCACCAGGCTCTGACTGGAAGAATACAGACTGAGAAGAAATTATGAACTGTGTGTCAGTCTCCTCTCTGACGTCCACTCTCCAAAATAATGGGTCACTTACATGTCTTTCTAAATTAGTCCACCTTTTTTGCTGGGGAAAAGTCTAATGGAGGCTCTTATACTGGAACTTGAATTGTTTCAATTCCCTCCTGGTGGCTGCAGCAATATTGCAATTGCACCTCTTGTTGGATAGGTAAAGGACAATGATTGTCAACTGAGTTACTAGTATACAACCACAGAGGACACAAGTATTTGCACTACCTGGTTTTCAGTAAAAATCAAAATCTATTTTTAAACTTCAGCAGGTAACATTTAATGTGAGAAAATGCATGTTTGTCCTCTTGCTAAATCAAGTAAACAAGACTTCTACTCTTTAAGTACCCACTGAGCAGCACTGGATGAATGTTAGAGCCTGCATCACATTATGATAGTTGTCCCTTCTGGCCTTAAAAAAGTCTGCATTTGTGGGAGCCGTGTGTCTGCTGGAGTGCAGGATCCGATCTGTGCTGCCAGTGCTTGAGAAAAACCAACAGTAATATACAAGTAAATACATAAAATGCAAGTCTGATGGTTCACAGCAGGATTTCCCAAATGGTAGAGGCATGGAAAACTGGCCAGGTGGGGGGCACTGCCAGACTTCGCAGTTGTTCACGTCTCTGCTTTCTTGTAAACTGTTGCGTTACCAGCTGGAATCTGTTCTTTTTATGTTCTGAAAGGTCATCAGTGCAGCACACTGTGCATGTGTTTGGGCCTCAGAGCTGTTGTTTTAGGTGGGCTGCAAAGTGACAATACTGATAACTAGTTCACTGCTCAAAACATACCAGGAAGGAGAGAAAACATAAAAAAATACTGGTCTTTATGAAGTGTAAGGAGAAAGGGACACGAAAGCTAACACCACAGAGTGAGAGCAGGGGCTCTGGTGGTACATTTTGTTTTCTTGACAGGAGGGGACAGGGAAGGACCAACTTGTGATCAGGTGGGAGAACACTGGTTTAGCAATAGAGTGAGTATAAGGCAGTGTTTGGAGTCCAGTGCAGTTTCAGTACTGCCAGTTCTCCATTAAAACTACTAAGACCCACCAATTATTTGTAGATGCTCTTAAATCATACAGATGGTTCATCTTTTCTAAGTAATCACTTAATTCTGCCTAACGTATTTCTTTTTCTCTTTTTACTCAGAGGTGCACTGGAAGCTTATGTTCAGTCAGTGAGAACAAGGGAAGGGAAGGAGTTTGCACCGGTCTATCCCATCATGGTTCAACTGCTGCAGAAAGCAATGTCTACAGTGCAGTAAAAATGTCTAGAAGACTTGTTAATACAGAAATTGAAGAGTGATGGAGTTGGGTTGTTGGCATTGATTCACATTTATGGGATTAACCAAAGCTTTTTTAATACTACTGTCACTATTTAAAGTGCTGTTAATGAGATACCAACCTAGTCTAACAAAGTGTACACAATCCTCTTTCTGAGCTCTAGTTAACTGAATTTTGGGAACAGGTTTATATCAAAACAAAGGTTTTGTTGGAATAAATGTAATTTCCTGACACGGTCACTAAGAAGAGGTCATTCTTGTTTGAGAATCATTTTCTAATGCCCTTTTTGGTAAGATGCAAACATTAGGACCTGCTCGTAATGTTCTAGGGCAGCAGGGGCTAACTTTCTGACAGGTTTGCCACAAATTATCTCTGTACTTCCCCACATGCCACACAGCTCTGCTGCTCTGCTTTCTGCTCCCAGCCCTGTGCTCCTTGCCTGAGCTGCAGCTTTCTGCTCCACCTGCTGCTGGGCTCCCCGTCCTCTCCCCAGTTGGCTGCCTGTGCTACTTAAGGCACCCGTGCCCCAGGCTGCCCACCCTGTTCTATAACAGTCTACAAAAAATTGGTTTCCCGTAAATAGAGCAGAGAGGGGCTTAGTTCTTAGCATTGTGCGGACAAAGATAGCACTTTTCGAAGGCTAAGAGGAGAAGCCTCATTAGGATGCAGTTTATATCTAAACATTTCATCTGAAAAGCACTAAGTTTACTACAAGGGAAGCATTTTAATTTCTAAACTAATGTAGAGCTGATTCTCTGTAGCATTGCTGAAGCTTTGAAGTAACTTATCCTTATGTTACTTTTTTCTTTTTGCTACCAGTGTAATAAAGAGCACCCACTATCTTTTGATCTTGAATTCAGTATTTGAAATTCTATCAGCAGCAGCTTAATTACAAAGTATCAAAACACAGAAGATCTGCTTAGTTAAAATATTCCATATGCTTGTTTCCTTCCTACGAACGTACAGCTAAACAAGCCTTTATACAGATTTGCAAAATTTAAATTAATGTGCAATTTATTCATTTCTGCAGGACTGACTTAATGACTAATCCTCTGGAGTCTGAACACACACAACAAGTTTTACACATTTATTTGAAATAATATACAAGAATATAGTGTGCAAAAAATCTTGGGGGCAACATCATGTAGATGTGTGTCACGAACTGAACTTAGTTTACAGTTGTGATTCTTAAAAAAAAAGAAACACAGTTTATTTAGTAACAAGAAAAGCCATGATTGTAAATGTTCACAGCAAAAGCAGTTGTAATTCTAATGCATCTGCTCTAATTTTAGACAGTTGGAGGAAAAAAAGTAAAGTGCAAGTGTTGCACCTACAGTTAAGTGCAAAGTTTGCCCCCACCATGAAGATGTCATATGGCAAAATAAAATATCATCTTAGAATATGTGGCCGAGGAGACAAAACACAAAAGGTAGAAGCATAAGGAGCCAATTATCAGTAGCACCATGTTCTGGAGATAAAGCATTTCATCGCAGCCTGGGCCATTACCTCCACTGGAAATAACAGCTCACACATTGCCAGCTGGTGCAAAAATATCTCACTGTAGATATAAATTTGACATGTGGCACCCCAACAAGCAACTCCCATGTGACATGACACTACGCTGTCCACTTCCCACGTATTCAGTCACTTGCTGGCACAGGGCAGACTGGGAGTCGACAGTTTGGTAAAAATGCATTTTGCCGTCTCAGAAAATCCCAGCTCCCAGAATCATAATTAATGACATGGTCTGTGCAATACATATCAATCAGCAATAAGAATCAATGTATAAACAGCTGTTACATATTTTAAAATTCCCCTTTTTGTACATTGTTTCAAAAAATAGAATATTTATACACATCTCCTCCTCTTCCTAATATACTTTAGCACCACAGGATGTCCATTTTCAAGCCTATGTTACCTGATAGACATACATGAAGTTTGGAAGAAAAATAAGGCAATTTGGTTTAAAATGTTGATAGTTTTAGCTTACTTAATGCTCTATTGTAGAAAGCAAATCCTCACTCATTAAATCATTTTCCGATGTGATAATGCCAGTATTCCGTGGTCGCACAAATTCACGACAAATGGAGAGACCCTGATCTTAAGCTTTTTCTCCATCAAGTGTCAAAGCCATTTTGTAAATGCAGTTAAGAATGGTGACGTTTTGGCTTAATGTTGTTGTGAACCCTGTAAAACAGTAACAAGGAAAACCATGTCAGCACTTCCAAAATAAAAATAAATGCAGTCATCTCAGATGCAGAAAAGATTTCTTAAAAAAAATCATGGAAATAGTTGCACTTTTTGACTATGTACAAAATACCAAACATGAACAACATCCCCATACTTTGCAGCAAAATTATATAACAGTGACTTTTTATAACCAGGCTATCAATTGGCCAAGCTAAAGCAGTCTTGGAGGGAAAGCTCTGGTTATTAGCAGCTCTCTGTTCCTCACAAAAAAAGCAGTTAAACCAGGTAGCTATTGACATCACTGGCGGGAAGTCTATACTGAGCATTTAAGGCGACTTAGTATACAAGGGCCCAAAAAAAGTTATTAGGAAAATTCTCAACATAAAAAAGTGCAGTACTGTGTGTCTCAGTCAGACAGACTGGTACATTCATATATCCAACTGAATTTATTTCAACTGAGCTACACAGGCAGCACTGAATTTGACTGCTAAAAGTACATTATTGGGAAAAGATAGAGATACTAAATAGGAGTCTTTTAAACTAAAAAAAACACTGCAGTAATCCATAAAATACATTCATAAACTCACTGATTGGTTACACGATTCCTAATGTTAATTCTGCTGCTGTAGCTACTAGCATGATGCATTGCACAGAAAGATTCAAGGAGTCAGCTTTGCAATGACAGCTGGGATTTGGTGATGACTGAAAGCTCTGTTCTAAATATGGAAGCTAAGAAGAGCAGAAGCAGCTTGACTTGCAGCAATTTCTAGCTGAGCCCCACAGCAGTGCTCGTCCAGGCTCTGCAGAATAATGTCTTGTTTGTGCTCCTGAAGTTGAAGTCCTCTGCTGGCAGCCACCAGCGAACAGGAAAGGGGGTAAACACCAAAGCCAATACTCTGGGTCCAAGCCGACTGTGGTAAGTTCTGCTACCCTCCTGCCTGTCTTAACATGACTGAAACACAGGGCATTCTTGGCAAACATCTCTTACTGCATCCCCTCCTAGCATATTTTCCTCTTTTAACTGGAGGCATAATAGAATCTTTTCGAACATCAATGTTAGCTCTTACCCAACTCTGAACTAATGCATCCACAACTGCTAATGTGGTGCTCCAGGCTCTTAAGGTTTATTCCACTTTTTAAAGGGATACTGTTACTTATTTTTTAATAGAAACATGATATTTATCTACATACAGCATTCAAAGTTACTGTAAATGCAAGGCACTGTGGGAAAAAATAGCAGGTTTGTTCACTCTAACAGTTGCATATCTCAATTTTCGTTTTTGAGTCTTTGGCTCAGAAAAGTCAGAGGAAAATATTTGAAAAAAGAATCCAGGGAAATGTGACTGTAAATCACAAGAGATAGCAGGGGAACAGGAGCAGGATCTAAAACTAGTTTTGTAACTCCTTTTGGAGACGCAGATAGATTTGACAGCCACAACTGCATTATTGTGGCCATGTGTAAGTTGAAACTTAGGTAGGGTCTTTACTGTGATCAGTCATTTTCCCTTTATCCAGACTCCTCAAAAATATTCCTGACTTCAGCACTATGGAATTCATGCAGTTCTTGAGGAGTCATGTGAGGGAGGGTGACTCCCACCCTTTACACAAAGCCATGCCAGCAGCAGCGTTCTTGTCCCCCCTTACCCACTTAGAATGTGACAACAACTGTCCAACAACGGGTTAAGGCAGGGGTGGGCAGTTATTTTGGGTGGAGGGCCGCTGAGTTTTCGCAAGCCATTGAGAGCTGCATGACAGGCAGTCAGGGGAAGATAACTATTAATTTTCTAAATTTTTTAGGGGCCCTGTGGGCTGGATAGAATGGCCTGGCAGGCCGCATCCAGCCCGCGGGCCGCATTTTGCGCACCCCTGGGTTAAGGACTGTAGAAAAATGAAATGATATGGGGGATGGTGCAGGAGAGGTTAGGAGATGTAGGTAGTACAGCAAACACCACAGCAAAAGGGAAATATTGGGACTACAGTGGGATCTGATTTTTAACTTGTAGCGAGAGCAGAGCACTGTTTGACAAAAACATACGGAATTTGTTCGTTTCCGTTTCCAACAGTCAGGATTTAAACGTTTCTGTTCCTCAGCCAAAGCCTTGGCTTCCAACGTGTACATCCGTCTTTCTTCGTTTTTCATTTTCTTCCACCTGTCACCAAGTATCACACTTATGGCTCTGCAAAATAAATGTTTACAGAATGGTCACAGCAGGAATTTTTCTTTTTTGATAATCAATCTCCCAACATTTTCTTATTTTTCTTTTTGGAGTCAGCACTTTACAAAAGACACCAGTTAGATGTGAGAAAAAACACATGTGATATCAGCGGTATTTCCTCTCTGTAGCGTCTGGCCATGTTTCTGACTGCCCCCTAGCTCGCTGACCTGTAAACAATATCTGAGATGTCTCTGTAACTGAGCCAGGCTTCCAGAACACTGATATACAAAAATAAGCCTGAATATACCTGTACCACTGTACCTAAAATGGTTAAGAATTTGGTCCGTCTCATCAGCCTGGCACAAACCACCTCCGGGTTTGTACCTGTGTTCTCCTCCACCTTACTTTATAAGATGAAGATGAATTGCTGAGAACTCAGTAGTACAGCCTTCCTCGGTGAAAGTAGCCTCAGAGCTCCAAACCCTTTGTATGCAGGGGCTGGAGAAAGCATCTCAGAATGACATCCTCCTAACTGAATGCAATGCTGGGCAGCAGCCAGGGCTCATCTGTCATGACTTACCCCTGATTATCTCCAGAAACTGAACATAGGGAGTACAAGAAAGGAAAAAAAACACCCCCCAAACCCCTCTGACCTTACTACTAAGCTGCAGGCCAACTGGAGAGTAATCTCCTTTTATCATCATGCCACATAGCTTAATTGCACCCCAAACACTGATTAGATGTTAATACAAAAGTAGTTCCACCCTTTTGCTGAATGTCATTAATATTTTAACCGATGCTGTTTAATTAATGATGTTTACTGAAACACCAGGTATGTGACCCTCCCTATCCAATACAACAGTGAAATGAAAAGCTTATTGCCAATCTTTAAGGAAAGGCGTGCACGAACATCACTGCAGGCAGTGCAGGTGTTCACAGATGCTAAGGAATCAAGGCCACCAAGCACTTCTGGATAGTTCCAGGTAGGGCAACTCTGAGAGAGGCTGTCTCATTCTCTGTCAACAGGTTTGAATTCCGAAAGGCTTTACTATAGAGCCAGACTCCTAGGGTCTGCAGAGTGAATATTTAATCTGATCTCTATATATAACCACTGCCTTTGTATTGGGGAGATGCTCTGAGGACATGACAGAACAAGCCATCAATCGTCAGGAGAAAATCTATACCTGAACCAATTTGTGTCTTCTGGCAAATAAGTTTCTGATGGTGGTTCTTTAATAACATTCTTGTATCAAGCTTATTTTAAACTAGAAGTAAAAAAAGCCAGCCTGGTTAGACGGTCTCTAGACCAGGTATATTCTGGCAGTGTTGGAGTCGGGTTGTAGCTGTGATGGTCCAGGAATTATGCCAGGCATAGATTTTGGGGGGACAATAACTTGCATTAGATCAACTGCACGACTGGGATAGGCTTAGACAAGATTTCAAAAGCACTGGTTCAACAAAAGGTATCATCCACAAAAGTCCTTGCCTCTCAGGTATATTCTGGCAGTTTTAGGGTGATATTCAAGTCACATGGGAAGCCTTTCCTCCTCAAGGCACTGCTACCTAGTTCCAGTGCCTGGGATACTATGGAGGAAGGCATTGTGACTCAACTAGATGAGGAATTTGCTTAAGGATGACACCTCAAACTGCTGGGCTTCCAAGTAGAAACCTCTGGAGACAAAGCTGTATATTCAGGTATCAAAGGTGAGTATAGGCTGGTGTATCAGAGAACTTCAAAAGAATCTGGTTCAAAGGCAAGAGCTTCATTTTCAAAAGAAATCAGTCAACAGGGGCCAACTACTCCTGCCACTGAGCTGTGGAAGACAGGTTCCAAATTTTAAGGGCCTCTTCCAACTTCATTAAAAATTAATTCTACTAGGTAGAGGGGAGTCAGGAAAAAACCATATTATTACAGTCCTTCCTTCTGTGCTCTTTCTCCTCAACTTGCATTCTATCATTCATGACTTTGGAGGTGCTCTTAAATTATCCTTATTTGACCATATTTAAGAAAGAACTAACTAAGGGATATGCCTACCTTGTAACTAATTAAAAAAGGAGGGAACTATTATTTGGGCATAATTTGTGGTGCTATCATAACATCTGCATGAATTAAGCCATTATATTTGTTTCTGCTTTGCATCTAAAATCTCATGGCTACAGGGACTAGCATCAATAAATTATGCTAACATGCTAACAAGTTCAGGTGTGCTTTCCACCTTTAAACTTCACCTCACTCGAATTATTCAAATACTCTGCTGTACAGGATTAGAACTCATATCTACAGTAAAATAAACAGAAATTATACCACTATTTGTCTTAACACCAGTTTTCAGGCTTGTTAGATTTGGCCTGGGGATAAGGGTTCATTCATTCTAAGCATAAAGTGACTTTTGACCTGCAAACTACAGCTGAGAAAGCCCCAAATTTTATTAGCCTGGCTTTGGTACATTGTTTCTCCTTTCTCAAAATGAAAGACCATTTCATTCTGTTGCAAATTCCTCATCCCTTATGAGTTTCTAAAATGCATATGAAAAACAAAAAGGAATAGTTACTCAAAGGAAAGGCAAAAATCTGAGACTGCAGACAGGAGATTATCTCAAACCAGGGTGGGCAAGAGGAACTGAGGGAATAGGTGGAAATAGACATTGCCTTTTAAGCCCAAGGGTGGAAATAGAAATTGCCTTTTAAGCCCATGACAGAGCAAATGGTGAGTCAGTTACTACATTTGGTATGGGGACAGCTGGGGCAAAACAAGATCAGAGGTCAAGTTGTCAAGGCACATGCCCACCCATAGCCACTTGGAGACAAATGCCGATATCAGCAACTTGTATCTCCCTATGCCTGAAGAAGAGTGTTTGTTCCCAAAAGCTTGCAAAAAACAATTTTTCCAACTATTTAGTTGGTCTAATGAAAGATATCACATCTACCCAAAGAACCTTGCCTGCCTATGTCCTCAGACCAACACAGCTACAACCAACAACCCCTATATCAGCAGTGGTATTTGGCTGAATAAAATTTACAAGACTATTTTGCTTGTCAGAAGTTTGAGGACTCAAATTCAAATCTCTGGTGACTGAATCTCTACTACATTTGATATAGACAAGGGGCTGTGTTCTCCTACACTGCCTTCCTCCTGTGCTCCAAGCCTTTCATTTGATGATGTCAGTCACTTAGGCTACTGCTGGTTTTCCTCAGCCTAAATCTGTGCATGGATGTATTCAAACCAACTTGAAATCCATCCACTGCAGCTCCAACTCACTGCACTGTAAATAACCTTGTATCCAATCATAAATGTTTCTAACTGGAGGTCTGCTTTAACATCACAGAACAATAGGATTAAAGGGCTGGGTTTTCTGCATGGTAGGGTCCCAGTCCCAAAGAACTTACACTATTGTATTAAAACTGAACCTGAGATCTGTGTGGCAAGTTATAAAAATCCCTGTTTCCTACTGACCCACAAGAAAGGACTGCACAGGATCCGCCCCCCCGATCAAATCTTGTCAATATAGACAGATAATCTGAGAATATGCACACACACACTCTTTATTGAAAAATGCTTCTAAAGGCAAGATAAAAATCCATTTTAAGTTACAGTACAGATAGTGAAAATGAAACCAGTTTCTGCCCTGACACCTGTTGTCAAGTTCTCCAAGGTGAGAAACCCTTAAAGCCTCCTTTTAAATTTGACCTTCTGTTAGCAGCTTTCAATTCGGTTTTTCAATAACATCTACATATACATGTAAAACTAAATTCACTGTAAGTTTGAAAAGCATTTATCAAGTTAGTTGTATTAACTGTAGGTCCAAAACTAGGAACTTAAGTGCCATTACCTGTTATCTTTCCCTGGATACATCTGAGTATATTCAACTCTGTACTTTTTGGCAAAAAGCATGAAGGCATTCATTGGTCTTTTGCACTTGTTAGGAGAAGTGGCACTCACAGTACTTGCAGTCCCTGAGCTGTGACTTTTGCCAGCTTTGCTATACAAAGAATTGGAGGAAAGCTGTGATGATCCAGACGACACACAGTTCTTACTGCATTCTGATCTCTCTGAGTCTTGACTACCTGATCCTCCACAAGATAAAGAAGCACGACGCTGACGAGCCATGCTACTTAACACATAAACTGCAGAAGAATCCATTGGTGTAAAATCGTAACTAGAATAAAGAGATACATCACTTAATTAGTAATTTACAAACTTGTAAATTTACTCCTCCACAACCCATGATACACTGTTCCACTACTCATTTGTTCTGACTTGGTGCCATCCTTACATTTTCAATTCACCACAATGCAGCAGTAGGATGCAACTGCCCAAGATCTTCTGTGCTGTTTAGTAGCTCTACCTATGCACGAGTCATGTTTCCATCTCATTTCCTCTCCTTTTGGAATACAGTCTGTTATTCTGTGCTTTGGACTGTAAGCCAACTTCCACTTTTATCCCTATTAAGGTAGGTGCCTACCCAGAGTGATAACTTCTGTGAAAGACAACTCATTTTGGGAATGTGAACAAACAGCATGTGGACCAATGCCACTCCTTCCCTGCTGCAGAGTGACAAAAACAGAGAATGGAGCCCACAGAGCAAAGCCACACCAGTGGCTTTCTATTCTAGTCTGTAGAGACTAGCAGGGCATCCAGACCACTGACACAATGCTTGTTTGCTCTGGAGATGGGTGTGAAGCTAAAGAGCTTCCTCCCTGCCTTTAGCGGTTGCTGCTTCTCTTGCAGGCTCCTGGGACAGACATGACTGCATCAGTTACATTCAGTGCACTTTTGCAAGGCTTTGCAACCATAAGGTTTAAAAATGAGTTGGGCAGCTGCAAACTTAAGCGTGTGCCTTAATTTACCTAAGGGACATGAACTAGACCTGGAGAAGCCACTGGAACCCAAAAAAGCATAAATAACTAAGCGTTTTAAACAGCTACACTACATACAGTGAGCATCATTTTACTCATGCATTGTAAATATGTGGAGTTTGGTTTGTCAGCAAAATATGGAAATGTTAACTTTTTTCCTCCGACCCAAGGCCCAGCTAACCCCATTAGTATTTCTGTGAAGCTTCAGTATAGTATTTAAGATATGTATGTACTTTTATACATATAAAAGAATACATCTTTGGTTACCAAAAAGCCATTCATATGGACGTGCTATATTTTGTGAGGAATTATAAAAGTGTGTGGTAATGCAAAAACACACCAAGCTTAACCATGCAGATATTACATTCAGTAAAACTGAAAGATGCTTGCTACACAATACCAACAATTACAAGTTACTGTTTCAAACTTCAGAGAGAGAATTGTTGTATTAAAGCTTTAAAAAAAAGTAGTTTGTTGTACAATACCAATTACAAGTTAGTAAAACAAAGATGCCCTGTGGATGACCCAGACTGTACAATCGTGAATTCAAAGTTAAAACTGCAGAGAATGCACTTAAGTAATGATATAAACACTTACGTATATTTTTTACACACAGTATACTTCGATACTTATTTTGCAAACAAAGTTTTCCCACAAAACTTCTTGAAACAGTCTTGTTTATTCGCTTTGTAGTTCACTTGGACATGTGAATGTTAATTGCAAGTATAAAGAAATACTGTTCATAGACGCCAACATTATAAACATAGTCTTTATAGAGCATTGCTCCAGGGACTGAAATATAATACCTCTGCACTTGGTAACTTCTGAGAACTTCCAACACATACAGAAGCATATCATTCATGATTTCAGTTCAGAGTAGATAATCTTCCACCCTCTAGTGGCAAAATTGTGATAACTCTACTATGTCTCATGGTAAAAAAAAAATCAGTTGCACAAGGTACTTGAAATGCTAGGGCCTTTAATTCATCGTACGTGGGAAAAATATACATGTCTGAATTACCTTTAGAGAGGGACCATTCACTAAATCCTTTAACATGCCAACAAGTACTAAATGACTAACTTTTTAAAACACGAATACTCAACATAAACCAAAGGTTTTATTTTTAAAACTGAATTTGGTATCTCCTCCATCACTTGCCTATTCTTCCTGGCTTAAGAAGAACCTGGAAGTGCTTTTTTATCATAGGAAATCAAAGTAGCACCAGGCAGAGACCAGGGACATTTATACACGTACCTTTTTGCCCCACAACGCTTTGGAGATCTGCTGCTTTGGAACAGACTCAATTAATTGATTCTGATGCAAACAGTGCTGCCAACATGCAATTATATAAGTGGTAAAATGTGTGTCAGCGTGCAGAAAATGGCAGGAGTGCCACTGCCATTTTCTCAGCACTCACGTGCATTTCAACACTTATACAATTGTAAGTGATGCAGTGCCAGGTGCTTTGAAAAGTGCCCGGCAATGCAGTGCTTCCACATGTAAAAATGCCCCAAGCTTCTGCAAGGACTTGCGCCAGTTTGCTGGCAGAAGTTTTTCCCCTTACTCCAAGACAGAATAGGAGGAGGCTGTGACAGTGTCGCTGTCCAAATTCTACTTGCGGAGTAAGCAGCAGCAGAAGTAGGGAATACAAGGCAACTAGCTGGCAACCTAGCTTGCTAGCTCAGAGGCAGAGGGATATGGGGGAAAGAGCTCTTTATCCTCCATTGCTCCAGTTCCTTCCCCAACTACTCCCTCCTACAACAACTTGAGAGAGAGAGAGAGAGAGAGTGTGTGTGTGTGTTTAATTTATTCTGCCCTTCTGCCAGCAGCTACTGCATCAGAATCCCTCCCACACTATTTTTTTTCTGCCAAGGGACTAGACAAGGTCTTATAAACACTACAACTGAAATGAAGGATGAACTGGATGCTACCAAACTAATTCCTTCAGTAAGATGTAAACACTGTCCGAGGACCCAAGAGAAACAAAAGCACAGGCAGCCGAGTTGGGGAAACCAAATTTAAGCTCTTCCTCTACCTCCTTAGAGTCCGGAAGCCTTTTCAATAGAAGCTTGAGCTTAAAATAGCCATTTTAAATTCACTCCTATTGTAAAAAAAGAACACAAAGCTCATTAGTATTTCTGATTGAAATGGAAGTTGGTTGTGGCCACAGATCATTCACTGCTCCTAGACAGAAGCTGGGGTTTACGGGAAATAACAGTGGAATTCAAATACGCTAGGCATCTTAAACATAAAGAATTCTGATCAAAACTGTTTTCTTTCTTCTCTATGAACTAAATAAAAAAAAGTAATTGTAGACACCTAAAAAATCTGATTAGACCAACCTAAATATGAAAACTCATTATTTCAGAAGCAATAAAGCCATGCCAAAGTGGATACTAATTACTGGGTAGGCTGAAGATACAAGGCTGTATATAAAGCATGAGGCAGTAGCCAACTGATGTACATTTGTGGTAACTAGATTATATCACCCAGTCCACCCTACTTCTCCCAGTGCAGGACTGTTCTATGCAATATTTTCTAGTGCTTTATCTGATCAATTCTAAAGTGTCCTAAGCAGCAACAGGACCACAACCACTCAACAGTTTTAGAGGTTTCACTACCCAAAAGTTTTACATTTTTCATTTATACCTTTGTGCCACCATAAGTAATTCCTCTCAAATACCTGTAAACTTACACACCTGTTCATGAACAGAACTTTTTATGCATAAAATATAAAGACCCATTTAATCCAAAAATTACCTTTTAAATGTATCAAAAACACCTGAATCATCAAAGTTAATGGCATCAGGGTGTCCAGGAGGTAGACACAAGTCTCCAATATGTATTTCATAGCATGGAATGCCATGCTGAACCACAGTCAAGCTTGGATAAAACGATGACCAGCCTGAAGAGATCAAGAATTAAATTAGACTATAACAGCCTGATGATCTATCTCTGATGGTAAAAAGCAAGCTCATATGCATAAAAGAAAAACAGCTTCCCCCCAAAAAATGAGAAACTTCTGCTCAGGAATTGCTGATAATTTATTTTACCTCATTTACAAGATTTTTCTTAGGGAAGAAAAAAAAGCTGAACAGAAAACCAAATATACTCATAATTTCATCAACCATGTAAGTGTCATGCTCAGCAAGTAAGGGACAATACAATAAATCAATAAAGTTTGAAAAAGTGCTTTTGTCTTTTCAAAATGCAGTGTTTTCTTTGAGTAGATTCAAAGTGACTCTAAAATAAGAAGCTTTAAACCAGGGATTGGCAACATATGGTCTGCAGGCCAGATCCAATCTATGGAGCTGGGAGGCTTCAGTGGCATTCTGGCAGTGGGGGACTTTACCTGTACTTGTGCTGGAGCCAAGGAGCAAGGAAATCTGCCAGGGACAGATGCTATGCCGCGGCCAGACAACAGGGAGTTCTGCCAACACCACAGCTGAGGGCAGTGAAAACCTGCCACCACTGTGTTGGAACACTGGCTCACCTCAGACCCAAGCCAGTTTTGTTTTGGCCACAACTCTGAAAAGTTGACAACCGCTGCTTTAAACAATAAAAAGTGGGAGGTATGGCTAGAGCTACAGACAGTTGTTTAGAACACTATCATATACATACAGAAGCTTTTGTTTCACATGCACAACATTTTCCTACCTTTATTTTTAATATAGAAAGGGTGATCCAATCTGCACTCTACTGTAAGCAAACCATCTTCTACTGTGCCAGGATCAAAAGTCAACTTCAGTACAGACTCACCAAATGAAACACTTTCTTCATGAGATATCAACTTCAAACCATCAGAACCATAGCCCTATAAATACAGATAGTCTTCAGATTTTTTTCTCCAGAAAAATTTAAATCTGTGGATGCTGCAAAATGTATCCACATCTTTTTTATGGCACACCAAAACTCAAGGGGTTAAATGAACTGTACAAAGCAGTAAGAAAATACACAACATTCAACAATTCTGCAGGCTGCCCACTTGTTTTATTCTGAGGGGTTCAGACAACATATTGCTAACTAATGGATACCTTCCACATGCCTCTTTCATAAAAAATTCTTGGAACAGTAATTAAAGGCACCTGGATAAGACTGCACACAAATCAAGGTCTTTGCTATGGTTAATGCACAGGATTCAGGAGCATCAAAGGCCTACCTTGTAAGTATGCATTGGAAGTTCTTCCTCATTTGAACAGCCTTCAGATCTAGCAAAATCTTCAACATCCTGCCACTCTTTATTGCGCCCTTTGTGAAAGCATAAACGTGTGCCTGATATTTAAAAACAATAAGATTAATATCTTCCAAAAGGAGGAGTGGCTAACAAAAAAGCCCTAGCCTACATTGCTGGTTTTTTTTACCTTTTAAAAAACAGTGCCAAACAGTTGACGGCCATGAATGGCACCATCCTAGATCATCATCGTCTGACAGGGATGACATGCAAAAAATGCCAGACTCTGATTCACTATTTGCCTATTGAAAGAACAAAAACATATCAATGCTTTTTACATAGATTACTTTAGGACTGTGTTTTACCATGCATTTGAGTAGCCCAACTAACTTCTAATGGAGAAATGTAAAACAAGTATTGCTTAGAGATAGTGGCAGAAAGCTTCAAACAAAGAAGAGCAAATGTGAACAAAGTATTTTCTCCTTTTCCCTTACATCCTTCTGGCCCTACCCCCACATTTGAGACTCTATCGCCATCATCCTTCTGGCCATGGTCCTTTCACAACCCCTAAGTGCCTTTTCTTACTCAGTGAGATGTAACATTTCTCCACTGTGCAATGCTCCTCCAGCCCATCTTAGGGCCAAATCATTAACCTACATGGTTTTATTGTCATTAATGTTACACAGAAATTAGCCAATGTTTTTAGTGAAATTTAGATCAGACTCAAAAACCATCACACAGGAATCAGAGATAAAAAAAATGCTCATGGCAGTGGTAAATACTATCATCAGTCCCTTTTTATATATCGTAAGTGATGCCTGACACCTTCATCCACAATAGTGACAAATTTTAGCTAAGAATTCAGTAAGCTGAAACACCCCCACAATTCATGGTTGCCTCCTCCAGAGTTCCTAACACTTCCTTTTCTATATGTCTTTTAGAATGTAATCCCTATGGGGCAAAGGCTATCTGTACTTTTGTGTCATGTACCAAACCAAGCTTAATGTCTGTGAAAAAAAATGATAAAAGGGAAACTAGCCTACAACTTATGAATAATTTTAGAAACAAATAAATTTTTACTCTTAACTAATTCTGTTTCTGAAAAGTTTAACCCACCAGACCTGCTTCTCCATATAGCTTATTGTTTCAGAACAACTCACCCGTTCATGTCTGACTGGTGTTTCATCCAAGTGATGCTTAGAGAAGCCAGGATCACTCTCTGAGGATCCTGGTGGAGGACGTGCATAGGAATGTAAACTTTTGCTTGTAGCTATTATGTGAACAGGAGATGATCTAAGATAGAAAATTAGCTTTTATTAAAATAAGGCTCAGATTTTGGCAACACAATAAAGTGCTAGTATTGCATTCTAGTAGTCTTTATTTCATAATAACTTTCCATATTTGATATTTCAACCTGTAACTGATCTCTCTTTCCAAAAGCCGGTCTGTACAAACAGCCTGTCTTCACATATGTTTATTATTAAACCCACTGCCCCACAGGGGCAGACATTAGGCACACCCTGTAGGTGCAAATGAATGTCAACCCCATGTGATTTAACTTGCATTCTTAAGCTTCTGTACCTGTAGTTCCTAGGAAACTGTTTGGCAATAGATGCTTGATAATGTTCTTCACCTGTCACATCTTATAAAAATCTCAATTATTTTCTTCACCTGAACAGAAAAGTTGCTCTTTCTCTATATCCTGCATGTCCTGACTGTCTTCCATTCATATTAGCTCCCCTCTGTCATGATGTGCATGCGTTTAAAACACTCTGAAACCAATACCTCCAACCTAAGAACCATCTGAGTTACAAGACAGCTGCACAGTCACAATGATGTACCCACAATGGCCTTAATGATTTTTAGTAGTATTATTTTCAGCAGTGATATGAACTATATCTCCCTGCAGAAAACCTAATGAGATCTCAAAACTGAAGTGCTTGTGAAATCCAGAAGAGTCAAGAACTCATAATGACTGTCACAGACCACTGATAAGGAATTTTTACTTTAGTGCCAATACATTTTAACAGTATTGTATAGGAATTCCAAACTCCCAAAAGATGTGTTTAAAATTTGTAATTTTATAAGAAATAAGTTTATTTTAATTTTCTCAAGCCATGTCACTAGCCAAGTGATCATGTTTAGTATATCACGCAGATAACCGAAGTTAATCTTCTAATCGAGCCTCTGACACCATGGCATGGCAAGCCACTACAGCCTGATCTCTTTGGAGGGAATACTTGTATTGTTTGAGTTCATCCCCTGAACAAAATCAGCTTTCACAATATGCTTTATAAGGAGGCCTATGCTGTCATCTGTAAAAATAATGGGTCTGAATTGCAGGGCCAAGTATGGGTCTCCAAATAGGACACACAGGTCTCTAGGAGCTAAAGTAAATGTTTCTAACAATATGTTGCAAATTTTAGAACTGAACACAGTCAAATTAATATTAGTACCTGTTATAAAAAGAGCACTGCATAAGAGGACTCTGTGGACTCGTGGCTATGTTTGCCAGTTCTGTCAACCAGTTCACCCCATTCTCACAAGAATAAGCACTTTCTGAATTTTCATTTGAGGTATGTTGGTTCCATGAAGGCCTTGAATATTCTTGATGTGAAACATCTGCACTAAGCTGGAAGAGCGCATTTGGGGTGGAATCAGTCTGAACAGCCTGTAGTTCAGGAAGATCGTCTACAAGCAAATTTTAAAAAATCATGATTATTCCTATGGCTAAAATTCACTTGACAAGAGCAAATACAAGAATTTGACAGAAAGGTGACCAAAAAGAGAACAGAGGGCGCATCAACAAGGAGCTGCTGCAGAGTAAAAAATTCCACAGCAGGAGAGTACTTGTATTTGCAAGCAGTACGCATGTAGATGCGTGAGGTTTACTGCAGAACTAATTAGTCTACTCCACAGTAAATGTTTCATGTAGATGTGCCCAAAGTAACCTAAACAACTCCTATACATCATTATCTGATGTTCCCAAATGCAATTATTTATCACATTAATATTACTCCTGTATAAAATTCTACTAGGAATTACTGAACTACTGTCTAACTTCACCTTCACATTTTAAATATAGTTATGTTACTCAGTGACTTCTATGCTGTTTTTCTTGAACATGATAATACTGAAGTTAAATGTTCTTTTGTGCCACGATTTACATTTGGGCTTCATCCAAAAAAGCAATGCTGTCCTTGTGAAAGGCAACATAAAGCTTTGTGTGTTCTTCTCTCCAAGCAAAACTCTGGAAGTTGTGAGCAGAAGCTTTTAGTGTCAAAAAAACCAGTTTCTATCAACATCTGCCTGTGTGTCAGAGCTATATGCATAGCTCTGACTGCACATGAGCTATATGTGGAAATCATTATGCATTATGACTGTGAGGTGGCATGATTCATCAATTCTATACTCATGCCACTTCCCCTCCCTGCATTACATAAACAGAAAAACAATAAACCTGGCAAGAGATAAATTCTGTCATCACTCCATGTGCCTAACTTCCATAGACTTCACAGGAATTTCAGAAATGGAGGAACTACAGGACTCATCCTTTATGTAACATTTCAGGTCTCAATTAAATTCTTTACCGAGCTCCATATGTTCATCACAGGATGCATATCCAGGAGAAGATGGCAGGTTCTCATTGCACTTCAGCAACTCCAATGACTCATTCATCCCTGAAGTCCTCTTGTCCACAACCAATAGGAGTTTCTGTACTGCATTCGGCATCTGATTTGTCTTCACTTCCCACACCATGTTAGGATGCTCCAGGTTATCTGACTTTAAAAAGACAGACAAATTGCATGCATAAAGCTCTGGAAGTCTCAAATAACCCCACAACCTACTTCTTTTACCTTACCACCATGTCTTTCCCTATCCAAAATCATTTATCTCTTCCTTTATCTAAATACAAATACCACCAAGACGCTTAGTTGTAGTGGAAGGAAAAAAGCCCTCCTTACGAAGTTGTGTTACATATTTCAAATGCATTGACAACTAACTTGCTTCACTTCCTAAGACGCTTAACATTTAAATTAGCATTTTAAAAGTTAGTTTAAAAACTCTTAGCATTTAACATTAAAGTGTATTTTGACTAACTGGCTGTACTCTAACTGTGAGAGGAGCAAGTAGTTGGTTCTGCCAAAGTGCTGTCTCTTACAACTAGAAAGAAAAAGTGCAACAGTGACCAATAATTTGATTATCTTCTGTTCTTACAAATAATGCTATATTTGTTATTCTAGCCTCCTATTTTATTTACTTTATACCCTGTCTTTCAGAAGATTATTTCACTGAGCCGAGGTACCATGTCTAATACACTATGAGTAGGGGTGCAACGATAAAGATTTTCTTGACCAATACCAATAGCCGATTATTCCCCAGGCAGAGAGCCAATTTACAGGAATGCAGCTGGGTAGTGAGGAGAGTAGCACCCTGCAGGTAAGTCTGTGGAGGGGAAGGGACGTGCGGGACAGAAAGGGTGTAGGGGACAGATTGAGGCCCCCATGTTGAGGGAGGGAGTGGGGCAGGGCCTGGGGGCACTGCCCAGTCAGGGTGGTGAATGAGCTTTAGTTCAAGCACCATTGCCACCATTTTTAAATGCAGGAACACTTCTAACCAAAGTGGAACTTGGGTTGATGTGGGCTGCCCACTGCAGGCTCTCTGTACTGCTGCCTTTGCCCAGGAAGCCATGTGCTGGCTGTACATCCCCTGCTTGTCCGGCAGTGGGAGGCACAACTCACCGCAGTCACTGCTGCTGGACAGGCAGGGGACACGCGGCCAGCACATGACTCCCAGAGCAAGGGTAGCACAGCACAGAGTCCTGAATCTGCAGGGGGCAGCCTGCATCTGCCAGAGCCCCACGCACAAATCCAGGGGGTACATGCCCCCCAAAACATCCCCCAGGGGTGCAAGCAGCAGCAGGCAGCTGCCCCCCTTTCCCACACTACCCCCCTGGACATGCCACCAGCAGCTCCATCCATCTCCCTGCCCCAGCCCTGGGTCCCATTCACCATCCTGGCTGGGAAGCACCCTTAGCCCCTCCCCATTCCCTCACCATGGGGGCCTCAATCTGCCCTCCCCCGCCCCCCCTTCCTGTCCACGGATTTGCACAGGACATCTAAGGTCCGGGCCAGAAGGCACATTATGTTTAGTGGTACATTACTGGCTGCACTGGCCAAAAAAAGCTGATAGCCAATAATATCAGTGCACCTCTAATTTTGAGGCCTCTGTACACTAAAATATATAACATAAATCATTAATAAGGGAGATTTTCAAAGGCACACAGAGCATTTAGGCCTATTTCATTTCTCCCTCTGGGGGAAAAAAAATCTCCAGTAAACTAACAGCAGATACCTGTTACCACAGTGAAATAATTTTAGGCTTTTGTGTACTTGTCTCATTTTCATTTATGGCAGATTTTTATGTCTAGAGAGTCACTGATGTTTCCAGAATTGGGGAGAAAGGATGGCATTTTTGGACTATGACACCATGAGTGCATCTACATAAGATGTTTACTGCAAAGTTGTAGCTCCACAATGAACATCTTGGCATCTACACCTGCGGCCTTACTAGGCCACAGGAAACTAATGAACTACACACCAGGTTAGTACTTGTAAATAGTTTTTTCATGCACAGCAATGCATGTGTAGTTGCAGTGAAGCATCCTCGAAGCAGTGAAGCAGGTTAAGTCCCCAAGTCCCCTGCTTGGGGGACATGTAGATGCACCCCATGTATCCTTTCAGCTGAGAAGAGCCAGCTGTGATTTCTTGTAGCCTCACACTGCTATTAAACAGGGGTGTAACAAAATAATGTTCTACACTATTCTACCAAAGAGCTTTCAAAAGCAGAGCAGCAACTGTTCAAAGCTACCCCCCAAAAACTCAATCATTTATTCAGGCCCACCCTAATTATCAAAGGGCCTTCCAACTAACATCAATTAGGACTGTATTATGCACTTTAAAAGGAACATTTCCACATGACCAATTCCATCTAACTTGGTAGAAATTACATCTGTGTCAACAATATTTTGTAGCCTACAGCATCAAGGACTTATCTTATGACTCCACACTTCTCATATATTAACAGCTAAGGTATATTCCTGATTTATCAAACAAGATACTGCAAGCTACAAGGAAACACATTACTTCTTAGTGCTCATTATTTCAAAACCACATAGTACCACCACAAATGTCACAGAGAGAAAAAAGTTAAATTAAGCATAAATTAATTAAAGCAAATTATGTAAAGATTAGTATTTGAAGAACTGTCTTCAAAGCACATTATGGCACATTATCTTCACTATAGACAATGGAGAAGGACGATACCAAAACAGTGGCATATTAAAGTTTCAGGCAGACTTCCCTGAACAATAGTTTACTTCTTCATATCATCATCTTTCAATAAAATCTGTACAGATCTGTAAGGCCTATATCAACTATGCAGATCAGAGCTTACATGCCTAATCTTAGCACCCAAAACAGACCATTTTGGGATATTACTTTAGCCCTAGTTACTGGCTGCCATCTATTGAAAGTTATAAAGCTTTACGTTCCTATTTTACCAAAAGTTGTTAATAAGATATTTACAGGTGCTAATGGATATTATACATAAAAGTCCAATACCCTTTAAAGGAGTTTTCTCTTTAAAATATAAAAAGCAAAAACTCTTTCATGTAAACACAGAAGCACTTTATAAATCACTCCAAACCTATGATAAAGGTCACAACCAGAAGCTGTCCAAAATGACAGCTGTCTTGTGACAGATTGCACTGATGTCGCTGAGTTATTTGGTTTGTCCCACACTTCTCCTGACAGATTGTTCTTAGTGATAAGATTAACAGCTTCAAACGATGAGGTCTGTCTAAAGGATGACTTAACATCATCATAATTTTACCGATCATGTTCCAGATCTATAATGACAACTGCACAACTCATTAGCATTGCCACCCAAATATATCAAATGTTCTGAATTTGGTTAAAAAGGAGTAACAGTAATAAAGAAAGCTATCTAAGGCTCTATCTCATACCACAGAACAATTCATCTGAAAGAATAAATCATGCTATAGCCCTAAAATTCAAATCAGGTTTACAGGGGGACAGGGAAAGCAGCAAAATAAACATGCCACTGCCTCTTCCAATTATAAAAAAAGTTCTACCAATCTAGTTATGTGTCTAGTATTAAACAACAATTTGACTCAACTTTCGTATTCAACATGTTGCTATTACCATCTCCCTACCCTGCTCCAGATCTGTTCAGCTATGCATTCACGATTCCCAACAAAATCAGTTACAGTTAGATTTTGTTACAGTTATAGTTAGAATTTGTTCTAACAAGGATTTGGGTATTCTCCAGGGTTCTACAAAGTAAGATGAAGAAAATGTGATACATACATCTTAATGCTATGTGCATCATGTAATATTCATTTCACTATTCCTCATTCCTTCTTCTGGTCTATTTTCTCTCCCTGGCTTCCTCCTCTCACCTGCATCTAACCTGTATTTGAAAACATTTTTCTTAAAAAATAACAACAGCTCAGGGGGCCATCCATTCATATGTGCTGCTCTCTGTTTTTATTTGCCTCTGCTTATCTTTCCCCACCTCTTTCACCTAGTTTTCCTGTAAATCTGTTTCCACCTTTCCCCCCCCATGCTTTTCTTGCCAAAAATGAGTTAATTACCACACTGGGAAAGTATTTTTTAAAAATAACTGCCAAGTTCAAAAAAATCCCCATCCTGATGTACTTAACTACTTCAAGCCCTGTGACCAACAGGGTGTATGTACAATGTGCTGGTGTTGACCTAGGAAATACATTTTTCACTTGACAAATGCTTTAAAGGTGTTTCCAGATCTCAAGAAATCTCCTCAGATCCAAGTCAGCTATATCTGAAAGTGCAGAAAAACTTTCAACAAGAAAAAAGTTCCAAGCTCATTTTCCAATGTTTTTATCATGATACATTCAGATCTGTTTATATCATAAAGCTTTTTCTCCGTAGCATGTCACTGCCTCAGAACATTAAAGGATAGACTAAGATGATTCCTTTTTAGTTCACTTTCCTGCTCAAAAACTGTTGTGAAGCAGATATTCTAAACACACATAACTGTAATACAAGATTGTAATTATCCACCAATCTGGGGGGCCAGGTAGCCCTTTGCTCTCTGCTTCCCCTCAGCTTTTTTCTGATAGCCCCTTCCCCCCTCTCCTTACTGTCAAACCATGCTTTCCCTGAACACATAGAAGGGAACAAATTTGAAAACAATAACCTTGAAATTAAGCATGGGTTTTGCACAGAGAACCAGTGCCAGGATTGCTTCATGCTACCTTTTTTTGAAACTGCTGCAATTTTTAAAACAGGTACTCCATGAACACATTTTTGAACAGCACTTTGGCATCTACTTATACACGGCACAAACTTTTTTTTATTTCAAGGTCCAAATCAGTTCTGGATTCAACTGGGAAAAGCCCAATAGTCAAGGTCCAAAATTCTACTGGGTGGTAAATCATGACAGAGGGATTTTGGGTATGCAGTGTTTTGACCCACCATGACTTCAAAAAGTGTCAGCGGTCAGGGAGACCACACTTAATGGGCACTACCATACATCTTATTCAGCTAGGTTGTATTAACCAGTCCTTGTAAGTTCCCACCAGCATTTTTACACCAGCGAAGGGTCCTGGAGCTTGTCCCAGCCTCTCAAACTGCCAGCCTGGTCTACCAGGCCTAGAGCTTGTTTTTTCTTAGACAAACAACTGCCTGCTTTTTTAAGGGACACACACACAGTTCTCATCAGCACATTTGTCCAAGGTTGGCTTTCACTGAAAGAGAATGCCTGAAGCTGGGGCTGCGTGAACTGAAGAAATACAGGTTTCCAGCGCTTTATGCGGGTTCTGTATGTGCAAATCCACTCTTATGCAATGATCCTTTTTATACCAAAAATTGGTTATTTGCGAGGTAAATTCACTCTTATGCGACTGGTGTGGTGGAAGCCTGCAGTCAGCTGCTTTGTGCAGTGCATTGTGGGAGTGGTGTGCACCAAAATATAGTCTCCTGTGTGGACTGTGCTCCTCACTCGTTGTCTGCAACACATATTTCTGTAGTTGTCATCCTCATTATGGTAACATTCACCACTACCCTGTGTTTGTGTATACCGTCTGTTGTTGGTGAGTACCCAAATTGTCTTGTAAAAGTAGTAGAAATGGGTCTGAGGATCAGTACAGTTGAGGTCTTGTAACATATCCCTATTTGTTACATTGTAAAGTGGGTTTCCTTTATACGAATCTGAGTTACGCGCCATTTTCCAGGAACGCACGTACAGCGTAAAGCAACGGAAACCTGTACATTGACTGGGACAAGAGAGAGAGAGAGATTGGAGAAAAGGAGGCAGAAGAGAAGTGGAGGAAAAAGGACTGGACACACTTGTTTCATTAAACCAACAGAGAGGACTGATAGGAGGGGTGGAAAGTTGCAGGTGGTTACTAAAGCACTAGTTTTTCCACAGGGTTCTGTATGAAAAAAATGCTCTGTAAGGGATTCTTTTGTGGGAAGTCGATGCACGTTTTTAAGGGTTTAATATATATGTAATTGTATATTTTTGGATATGCAGTTGTTTTTGCAATATGAAATTTTGGTTTAAAAAAAAGGCTCCCATCAGCATTTTTGGCACCAGGAAAGGAACTTGCTCCAGCCTCTCCGAGTGTGCGCGCACGCGCGCACACACACACACACACTCTCTCTCTCTCCACCTCCCATCAGTCTGTTTGCCTAATATGGGCTATGTGTTTTAGTCATGCTCAGTGTTGTCTGTGTTTAATCAATTTATAGTTGTTATTGCTGAGTACATACTACTTCTGACAGCAGTTTAACGATAGACAATGTATCTGGTGAGATTTCCATATACGCAATTATAAGACATGCTAGTTGGGGAGAAAACCCTCATCTCGTATTCAAGTAAATATGGTAGTTGGATTGCTCATATTTAAGAAACCACCAATAATTATGAAGAGGTTATCATACAGAAGATGGAAGTATGCGTTTTCAGGTGGTTAGGGTTCACCAGATTTGGCATGGTTTAGCAACATCTGCTCAAAGCACAACATTCTGGCAAGTTTGAGTAAGACTATTTCCTGCAACTTTCCTTCTGATAGTTTTTCCTTTATTGCCAAATCTCAGGTTTGGCCCATGCTAAAACTTTGCTGAACTCAATTAAACTAGAAAAGCAACTCTTCTGAATAAAATAAATCATACTAGCAGAAGCAAAGTCTTACTAGTTATACCCTGTCTATCCTGGAGCTTCTGCTGAAACAGCTCTGCTGTTCAGGATCACACCTCTGGACACCCCGACAGACGCAGATACTAGCAACATTTTGGAGTCACAGCTGTAGGCCTCAGAGGATCAAACAAGGCCAAGATTTGCACAGTGGGCACATCTACAAGAGACGCTGCAAGTACAGTAGACTACTTCTACTGCACATTAGTATGTCTTGGCGAAAATCATGCTAATGTGCAGTAAAATAGTCTACTGCGCATTAGCGGCATGTAAGAGTCATGCACAGTAGTGCCAATTCCAGCACATTTAGTACCTGTTATTACAAGTACTAGAATATATTGCACTGTAATAATGGCACATTAATGCACGTGTAGACATGCCCAGCATATACAGTACTTGAGGATTACACACACTGAGCTCCAAAGACTTCTATCCAACGCTCTTTTGAGTTTCTCCTGGGTCAAAGAGCAACCGTATCCAGCACAAAAACAGGTGAATGGGAACCTATTGTCCTGATTCACCCTGGTCATCTTTGTGATGTCATAAAAGTGCTTATGGAGGCACAAAGCAAAATGCTCAAATGTACAGCTGCAGTAGCAGGTAGCAGTAAACAAGACTTCTTCACAAAACAGGGCAGGTCCCAATGCAGAGGAGGCCCCGGAGCTGGAGAGAAGCAGGAGCCAGGGAAAGGCTGCTGCAGCACTGGACACCAGCCTAGGCCAAGGCCAGGCAGGAATCCAGCCTTATCTGCACATCAAAGAGCAACTCACAAAGACACTCTCATGGACCCAGAAGAACAGCCTTCCATCGTCAGTTTCCTCCACGCAAAAATTAAGTTTATTTTCTACCTATGGGGACTTTTTACCATCTGTTTCCCTGAGCTTGAGGAATGGTGTGTGAGCCTGAAAGCTTGCAGAAAAAAAGATATATATTATTTTTTTTCATTTCTTAGTTGGTCTAATAAAAGGTAGCATCTCTGAGCCAAGAGTTCTGCATTTGTCTCGGACCAACCCGGCCACCAGCCCAGGCAGCAGCGAGAACCAGAACGAAGCCAAAGCGTTGCGTAAGCGCTGCAGCTCGCTGGTGAGTCACGCGGGGGAGGAGGGGGGGGGGCTGTCACGTGACCGCCACCTGGAAGGGCCGTTGTTTATATGCTCCCGGGGGCAGCGCGCACGCGCGCAAGGGCCCATTCATTCACAGCTGCGT